TGTGTACTCCTGCAGGGCATTTTAATAATCTGATTAGGGAATTCCCTGCCAGTCCAGTGATTAGGAGTTGGCACTTTCACTGCTGTGGGCTGGGGTTTGATTCCTGATCAGGGAACTAACATTTTACAAGCTGCGCAGTGTGGCCAAAAAAAAAAAAAAAAAAAAAGTCTGCGTACTTGTCTAAAGCCCCCACTAAACTGTGACATCTTTGTGGACGGGGAACACATCTTTACCTGTATTCCTGGAATGACAACATCTCAGATGCTTGACGCTCATTTAATAGTTTTAAATAATTACATACACAAATGAATTCAACAAATACTTACTGAGCACCTATTATGTGCCATGCACTGTTCTCCATGCTGGAATACAGAAAGGACCAAAACAGACTGACAAAAATGCCTGTCCTCAAACTAGGATTTCCTGGGAAGGGATATGAGGGAACTTTGTGGGGTGTCCTACATCATGCTGGGGTGTGGATAACATGCCTATATCCACTTGACAAAACTGGATAGCTAAGATGCAAGCATTTCAATATGTAAATTTTACCTCACAAAGAACTTTTAAAAAATAATAATTAAGCAGGCGTGAAGGGGCTTCCCTGATGACGCAGTGGTTAAGAATCCGCCTGCCAATGCAGGGGACACGGGTTCGAGCCCTGGTCCGGGAAGATCCCACGTGCCGCGGAGCAACTGAGCCCATGTGCCACAACTACTGAGCCTGCGCTCTAGAACCCAAGAGCCACAACTACTGAGCCTGCGCTCTAAAGCCCGTGTTCCGCAACAAGAGAAGCCACCACAATGAGAAGCCCGCGCACAGCAACAAATACCCAGTGCAGCCAGAAATAAATAAATAAAAATAAACAAATTAAAAAAAAAAAGCAGGTGTGAAGAGTAAAGATGAAGTGAGAATGGCAGGATGCTGGGTAACTGCTGAAGCTGAGTAAGAGGCACAGGAAGTGTGTTATAGTATGCTGTTTATATATGTTTGATATTTCCCAAAATAAAAGCTAAAAGAAACCTCTGCACTCAGGTGAGTAAATATTAATGAAGTACAAATAACAGATACTCCTGCATCATGACAGGAGTTTTTGAACCAGGAATAGAAAGGAAGGAAGAGAAATGAACAGTTATAGGTCACTTACAATGAGGGACCAGGCATACTTATAGCAGTTTTCTCACTTAATCCTTGTAACAACTTTATATTTTTACCCCATTTTATAGATGGGGGAACTGAAGCTTAGAAAGGTTACACAACTTGCCAGTTAAGTACAACAGCCAGAATTTGAACCCAAGTCTTCCTGACTCCCCCAGTCTCCTTCCATCATGTTTCTCACACCCTTTTGCCACTGTGACAATCGCCGAGGCCAGGACTCCAGCTTGGGTGCTAAATAGAAACCCTCATGACAGTTATAAATCTCAATCATAATCCGTGCTTATACTGTTGAATTTTCACCCATCTGTACTCTCTCTGTTACCTTCATCTAAACTAACTGGCCCCCAAAACACTTCATCAAGTAAGGGCTTTATTCCAGTCAGGGGCCAGGTGATTAGGTCCTGGATAAGTAGTTTGATATCCAGTCCCAGAAGTTAATTACTAACATAAAAATTATCAAAACCTTTTATTTTTCAGGGTTAAGTCAAGCATCTCTGTAGGCAGGGTGACTTTTTGGCTTGTTTGTTCTCCAGCTGACATGTAATTAGCTCTTAAGGACACTGCATTTTTGGACTTTTTAAAGCCAAACATCAATATCTAAATATCTATTCTGTCTATAGAACATTTCCTCAATCTCCCAAATTCACCCATAGGATGTGAAATGAAACAAACCCATAAAACCAATTTAAACCATCACCCCAAACTCTCTGCCCTCGAAGCTGTCTCTAACGACTTTCTACAGCAGATACAACAAACTTAATGTTATTGTTTTCCCTATAACTTGTTTTATGTTCCTAACATGTTACTATTTCCTCTTAGTGCTTTCGGTGGATTATCTCCTCTCCAAGTCATCTCATTTCTGCTTTTTTTTTTTTTCCTTTCTGCATTTTTTTTTTTTTTTTTCCTTTTTGGCTGAGCTGTACCACATGCAGGATCTTAGTTCCCTGGCCAGGGATCAAACCCATGCCCCCTGCAGGGGAAGCACAGAGTCCTAACCACTGGACCGCCAGGGAAGTCCCTCACTTCTGCTTTTGACAGGGCTGCCCACTAGCACAGAAAACAAGTATTAAGCTGCAGGTCCTCAGACCCCAAGCTGCCCCAAAAGCCTAGCATGCAAGAAGTTTGCCTACTTGTCTGAAGGCAGAATTCACAATCTAGAAATACAGGTACATTCTGATGCAATAAAAAGTGGCGTTACGAAAAAAAAAAAAAAGTAGCATTACGGACTGAGAGTTGCAGCTTTTCAAGAAAGTAAGTTCCCATCAGGACTCAATCTGTGATGAGCTAACCACCGTGAGAGGGAACTTTCCCTAAGTCGCCAGTGTTGCAAGCATGGCCTCAATGATGACCTTAAACAACCTCTAACTTCTGGACTCCTGAGCCGTGTGAAGGACGTGAACCACATGGCATCTAACTTGGTCTTCAATACTTGCCTGGAATCTCATAGAAAGGGAACTGAATATGCTGACTTGGGATCTTACTTGTCTCACTAACTACACTTTAAAGGATGAAGAGAGTTTCCAGCTAGCTCCCATCAATTGTATCCACCACCACATTCCTGCACCTTTGATGAGAAGTAATTTAGCTCATGCAGTGTTTTCTCCCCACCCTGTCTTTTGCCAAAGCTCTGGAACAGAGCTCACCAAACTACACCTCTCTGTCTAAATGGGAAGAAGTTATTTATCCCACCTCCAGGCAGGCTTCCTTTCCTACCAAGAAGCTGCTTTCCAACGTTCCCAAACACTGTGGAATGACTATGGTAACCCCAACTCTTAACCAGCTAGAATTTGGGGAAGAGCAGTTGAGCATCGTATCAAGCATCATCTGTCAATTCACAGCCATCATTTCCTTGCATGGTGAAATGTCCAAGGAAGCCACAGAATATCCTATTATTCAAGGTCAAAATTGCAACATTCAAGAACTCAGTGCAATAATGAAGTTGTTGTTTGGCTGCAATCTTGCCAAAAATAAAGGCACTAACTGTGCCGCCACAGGAGAGCCTAACTAATTTTAACAGTCTTTTGCCACATGAGAATGCTTTCTTCAAAGAAAGGAATAATGCCCCTCCCCACCACGCTTCACACATGCCAGGGGACAAAGTTACAGGAAAGAAGCCCTTGACAACAATGACGCCCATGTGCCTGCCTGGGCCAGGGTGTCAGGCTCCTGGGGTGATGGCTTTCTGCCCCCAACGGATGCTTCTCAGCCTTAATCGATTCCATTATACTAACTCCCACCCACGTTGAACACTAAATCAGTGAACAAAAAGGAAAAAGGATCAATAGTTATTTGACAGTTATGATATAAGAAATCTTCACGTGGACTGAGTTAAGGAAAGAAATGAAACTGCATAAGAGCACCTGCGTCTTACTTAGAGTGGAAGTAAATGATGTCTACTTATGGAATATACAGCAGCGGTGCCTAAACTATTTGGTGGGTCCCTTATCCAACAGGTTTTTTCAAACATAAAAGGAATTATTAATAAAAGAATTATCTGTTCTGAGTTACTAATTTTTTCATCTCTACTCGAAGCAGATTTATGGAAAATCACAAAATAAATAAGGATTCAATTGAATCAGTAGTTTTCAAACATTTTTTTAAAGGCAGAGGTACTGTTACTCAGAAAAGATCCACGTAGTCCCCTAATACATAAAAGATGCTTAAAAAGGAGCTGGTCCAGGGCTTCCCTGGTGGCGCTGTGGTTGAGAGTCCGCCTGTCGATGCAGGGGACACGGGTTCGTGCGCCGGTCCGGGAAGATCCCACATGCCGCGGGGCGGCTGGGCCTGTGAGCCATGGCCACTGAGCCTGCGCGTCCGGAGCCTGTGCCCCGCGACGGGAGAGGCCACAGCAGTGAGAGGCCCGCGTACAGCAAAAAAAAAAAAAAAGGAGCTGGTCCAGATAAGGAAACACGGAGTGTTGAGCCTTTTCTTCTGCCTCTCATTCCTAAAATGGTCTTAAGGTCACCGCAATGAAACAGAACTTGAGAAGCACTGAACCAAAATGAACCCAAGACCCATATAGCAAATTTAAATTAATAAATGCAGAAGTTTTGGTAAGATACTTTCTAGTAAATGTACAACATGGAAATACCAGCACACATATAGATTATATAGACCTAAACTCTGTATTTACTGTTTATCACATGGAACTTCAAATGCTCCACTAATCATACACATAAAAGTCTTTATAAAACAGCCAAATGAATTTCAATGCACCTGAGAGAAGAGTTGTGTCTTCCTTGGTTATCTTGGTAAAATCATGAAAAATGGTGATTTCAAAGAGGTCTTAGCAACATGGAAGAACTATAATAAAATGTTAAGTAAAAAAGCAAGAATTACATTGCTGATGTAAAAATGCCCAGAAAAACACGGAATGGAGACTTGCTAAAACACCAATATGGTTATTGCTAGGTGAGAAATTAGGGTGGTTTCTTGTTTCTTTAAATTTTATTTTGTTTAAAACAAAAAGAAGAAAACAAAGAAGGAAGCAGACAAGGAAAGAACTAGCCTAGACCTCCTCCTTTTGGCTTAGAGTCATTAAAAATGTAGTGTGTACCGGCCAACAGTAAAAACATCCTTTCCCCTTAAGCTAAAAAAAATTAAAATTCAAATGCAATCTTTTAATGAATACAAAAATTTGATCATTATCGACCCAACTAATACCCATTCAGTCTGACAGCCACAGACCTGGGTTAATCCTTTTGGGATCTGAATTTTTTATCTCAAACTAGTGCAGCAGCCTGCAGAGTAATAACACACGCACAAACGTGAGAGGGCTGAAGGAGGGGATGCTGGACCAGAAGCAGCCCGGCTGGGCAGGAACACATTCCCAGTGCCCCACTCACCACATCCAGGTCCTGGGAAACCCGCCGTTTCCGCAGCTCCTCCATCCTCTCGCACACGTCGGAGAAACACGTATTGTAATAATCTGCATACTGTTGAGCCAGGTCATCGATGTTTCCCAGGGAGCCGTCCTGAGGGTGAGGAGGGCAGGGGAACGAAACAGGAAGAGAACAAAGGCGATCAGTCCACCTGCAAACGCCCCACATCATCTAGTCTTCCTCTATGCAGCACTTACACTAATAAAAGCTGGAATTTTTTCAGTGGTTGACGTGTGCCAGGCTAAATTTTACATGCGACATCACCTAATGCTGAGGACAGCTCTGGGACACAGGACCTATTTTCCTCAGTGTGTATAGATGGACAAACATCTACACACGCAAAAAAGCTGAGTGACAGCCCAAGGATTGCACGGCTACCAAGCAAAGAAGCCGGGCCTCCAACTCAGGACTGTCTGATGCCAAAGCCACGGTTTTAACCCACATCCCTGCCTGCCTTGCAGGGCCAAGAAACCCCTGGGAAAACCACTGTGTCAGTGCGAGGCACCCTAAAGCCCCTTCGGTGGCTGCATCAGAACCTCTGCGGAAGCGTTTGAGAAACCCAGATGCCAGGACACCACTCCTGGGAATTCTGATGGAAAGCTGAGAATTCAGAAGCCAACAGGGAATGCTGCATCTGGGACACACCTGAACCATGCCTCCCATGAGACCCTCAGAAAAGTGGGAACTCTTATTCCCTACATCATTCAAGTACAGATGCAAGAGAACAAATTCAGCTAAATAAATAAGGAAACATATCTGCCTCTCCACTGAGGGACAGGCCCGGAAGCTGCTCTGGAGCCCACACCCCCGAGTTCACAACCAGCTCTGCGGCCGCTTCTGGTTCGGCAGCCTTAAGCATGTTTCCTAATCTCTGGCAACGCTGGGATACCTCCCCGTGAGGAGTGATGAGGTAACGTGACACACTCAGAGCTTGGTCCTTCACAGTCCTCCTGGCACATAGTAAGTGCTCAATTTACTTAGCTAATAATATTCACTACAAATAATGTTTCAGATTGTAGTCTTCCTTTAGGGGAATGGATTCCTAAATACATGTTTGAACACATACACAGAGGATGACAGCAATGCTGTATACGTTTGTAGGTTATGCCATTTTGTCTATTCATTCATTCCTTCAGAGAAGCATCTCCCCTGCCCCTTTTCACCTCCCAACAAGGTCTTTCTTTGGTATGAATAAAAGACCCTACCAAGACAACCAAGGAAAATGATTTTACCAAGATAACCAAGGGAAAACACAACTCTTAGACAACCAAAAAAGTGCACACACATTTTCCCTGTGACAGACCACTGGCCAGCCCTGTCTCGTAGTTAATGCCAGCACACCACCCTTGGTGCACGTGTCTAAGACTGCAAAGCACACTTAGACGCAGACAGGCTTTGGGAATTAAGAGTTCTTCAGCGCCGGTGCTGAAATCTCTTCAGAATAGTCATCATGATCTCAAAGTTTGTTTCAAAGTTTGCAAACATCAAGTGTCAATCAAAACTGAAGATGAAACACCAATGAATGTTGAATTCTCATGCTTTAGATGTACTTCCTTCTTAGAGTTTTTGGTTCTCTGCTATTTATACCCGTACTGTTTCGTTTAAATTTCCTTCATGCTAACTTCTTTTGTGCTATTGAAATAAAATTACAGTATATACAACAACAAAAAAAGAGTTCTTCAAAAGCCTTTCTGCTGGGACTTCCCTGGTGGCACAGTGGTTAAGAATCTGCCTGCCAATGAAGGGGACACGGGTTCGAGCCCCGGTCCGGGAAGATCCCACCTGCTGCAGAACAACTAAGCCCATGCGCCACAACTACTGGAGCCCGCACGCCTAGAGCCCGTGCTCCGCAATAAGAGAAGCCACCGCAATGAGAAGCCCCTGCACCGCAATGAAGAGTGGCCCCCACTCACCACAAGTAGAGAAAGCCCGCACGCAGCAGTGAAGACCCAATGCAGCCTAATTAATTAATTAATTAATTTAAAAAGAAAAGGCTTTCTGCTAAAGACCTCTCAAGGCCCTGGTCAGGATGCGTGGGTCAGAGCAAGTGACCATCTCTATCCCACTTCTGCATTCACCAATTTCACAAAACTGACCAAGTGGGGAAACAGAACTGAAAGAAATGATGTTTTTAAGAAAATATTCTTCCTTTGTTACCAATAAAATGTTCTATGCTTGAGGTAATTGCTTCAAAGTCCCCAGTATAGAGCTAGGGATGGGAAGCTCTTTACAAGAACAGTAAGATGTTTGAACGTGTCTGGGCAAAAGTCAGTCCCTCCCCTCTGAGACAACAGGCTGGATGGCCACAGTAGAGGTGGCAGGAGCTTACCCTCCCCCCCCCAAAATAAAAGGTTTGTCACGTTTCCGGTAGGGAAAATAAGAAGGAGTAAAATGGAAGTCTGCTGCCAGCCTCCGAGGAAACCCACAGAGGGGATCAGCCTACCAGTCTTTGCTTTACTGCCTTTAGTAGAGGTGAGGCTCCTGACAAATTGCATCATAAATCGGATTACGATCCAGAGGTCTGCCCTGACTCGTCTCAACTCAACAGCACATGCCCCATGGGCCACAACATGAAAATCTACAACCTCCTGACCAGTCTTCTTGCCTCCTTCCCCATTTGGCCTCATCTGCCTTGGATCCAGTCACCAAAGTGACCTTGCAAAACAGAGATCAGACGGGGTCTCTCTCCCCTAAGAATGATCCGTGCCACACACATCACACATTCTACAAATAAACGCCAAACTTACCAGCCCCTGGTAAGTTTGGAGAAAGGGGTTGAGGCCTGCCGATGGGGAAGACCAGAGGAGCGAGAGAAGACAGGCAGCCCCTACAGTGGCCGCTCCCCCAGCCCCCATGCCACCCCCAACACCAAGAGAAAGTACTGGAAGAAACTTTA